CACAATAAAGACCCAAATCAATCCCCGAAAATACCGACTGTTCCCTTTTAAGACAGAATCTTATTTCCACTTTCTATCATATAAATAGATAGGAGGAAGGTTTATACACATAGTTTTCTTTTCGTTTTATACTAGAAGATTTGATGGAAGATATTTGGAATTCCCCCTTCTTTTGATACCAGAAAATTTGAAGTCCTTTCTGATTTCCACCTTCTTTCAAATCCAAATTAAACCAATTGAAAATTACTCCAGAAGATTGAAATGGGTATATTTATTATTTCCACTAACGATCGTTACCAAAATATATTGGGGACTTTCCAGACTACTTCAACTACCAGTTGAAAAAGGAATATCTGATCTCTGTCTCCATCAAGAATTAGATAAGATCTCTTTCGGTAAAGCATTAAAAATTATTTTAATATTCGAAATCAATGCATTGTGTTACAATTTTGAAATTCAATATATATTGCCATAATTGAAATTTAAATATCTCTATTTGTAACATACTCATTAAGATGGAATTGAATTATTTCCAACAGACTTGGTGACTGTAAATAGTGTAGTTGAACAGGTTCAAAATTGTGTAATAATGATTAGTTCAAAATTGTATATTCCACTACCTATTGATGCAAATATGTGTATAGAAAAAAAATAATTAGGAAATATCATATCGCATTTAATAATAATATGTTAAGACTCGAGCTAGGGTAGAGTATAGTATTAGAACGAATTGAACTCTCAAATTCTAGTATTATTATGGTTTGTCGTCAAAAGCGTGTAAACACTCACTAATGATTAAATTACTTCACCAGATAATAAACATAAACTCATTAAATTTCTAAAGAAAATTTATGGACCCAAATAACTACAACTTGCTACAACTTACAAATTTAATGACGCTCGTTTTTAAACATCCATATCGGATCTCATAGCTTAGTAGACCTTTTCAGGCAGAATTTGATACTCATATCAAATATTCACTGTCCCATAATATTGTTTCGTAATCTAACAGGTAAACCTTCAGAAAAACATAGATCTGACCTGTTTAAGATAATTCATAATTATATTTAAGATTATTGCATCTCAAAAAAGTTCATAAGATCATAATTCAAATAGACTTTCGATCTTTGTTTCATTTTCTTCGTCACCATTACAAATGTCTAAGGACATAAGAAGATCCATCCAGACCAAAATTGTATTCATTATCATTCGCGGTAACTAATTCCATGAAACTTTCAAAATTTGTTATAATATAGTACCATTTTGGCAATATACTGTACATAATCATCTGTTATAGTTCTTCTTTCTGGTGAAAATAATACTCAAATTTTATTAATTTTTCGCCTTAAAAAACATATAGAGTTCCTTGATATTTTATTGGTATATCGGGATAGAATACGATTCATTTACCAAAATAATTTCATATTCAAATTTCTGCACTACCTTTCTTTCAATATCTTAATCAAAATAAGACGGTACCGGCAATTACCCTGATAATACATATCTTATATATATAAAAATTTGTTGAATATCTATATAGTAAAATGCCATGAGGATTTTAAATTATCTTCTTGATTCTAATCCAGTCGATCTTAAATCATCTACACAGAATATTCATTGCTCTTAGTATCAAGTGTCATTTCAATTGAAAAGCAGCTTTTACAACATAATACGTTAGCATGAATAATGTAAGTAATTTACTAGAATGATGTTTCTTTGATCAGTTACAATTATTTTGGGAAGATATGTCTTTGATGTTCATGAGCGTATAATAAAAACATTTTCTACATGTGTTTTATTTCAAATTATCTCAATCTTGTAATTGATAATCTCTGATTTAAATACTGATAAATTCTTTTACATTCTAATAATTTCACTTCTTCACAGTATTAAACCAATTCAAATATATTCAAACTAGAATGTAAAAAGAAAAGGTTTTAAATCGAGATGGTGAATTGTCCTCATCAATAGGCCTATGTTGTTGATAATAACTTTATGAATATTGTTAGATTATAAGACACCCCTTTATGTCATAAAGTATGCATATCCCCCACAGACCTATATATACGATGTCTACATAAAAGAGTAAATATTTTATGAATCGTATTAGGCTCACAAGATCGTATGCTCATAATTGAAATTATATTTTTACCAATGCAATGGCCCAGATTTGCAAAGAAATCTTTTAGTTTTTTTATTGCTACTAATACCCGATCCATTATCTTTCTTACTGATAAAACTGCACTTAGTCAAAGTTCAACTGGAATCAAATTAAGTTTCGCCGCTGGACCCGAGTCAAAATAACATATTACATTTCAGATGAACTCTCTGGCACTTTATCTAATATAAATCATAATATATTCTTACCTATACTAAAGACAAGGGAAGAGGGAAATTGTAGCGAGATCTATTTTACCGTTTATTATTATTTATATAGATATCTCTATATTGTTTGCTTGTATGAAGAGGGGAGTTGGAATCTTGTGAAGGGTCTAGAGTGAATAAGAGAGGCCCTGGGGTGGTCATCTTCTCATATATCGCCCTAATCTCTATCTACCCCTGGGGTGAAAAGGGAAGCAGTCCACGGGATAGTTGGAATTGTTTTTCTCTTTGGTATTTAATTCTCATCCGTTTTCTGCACTAAGTCGCCTAAAATTGGACGGAATTTATTTACTATTGAAAATGTCATAATCACTGTAAACTTTGCGTGTGGTATTAAACCGGGTAAAACATTTCATACTGAAATTTAAGTCTACAATTTTGTAAATCAAGAGTAAATTTCTAATAATTTTATTAAGAGTTCTTCGATCTGGAAGCCTGGTGATTTTCAGTATAAATATTAATTTTCAGAATGGACTCAGAGAAAGTTTAACTAAATCAAAATAAACATGTTTGAGAAGTTTGACATCGAGTTGAAACTTTGGTGTATGTAAATTAGGTTCTTGTCGAATGAAAAGGGGTTGCTCACGGTTAGATTCAAGCAAACCTTATTTTACAAAGCTCTACATAAGCTCACATGGAGAAGTACAGAAAGAAAAACATTTATACAATTTATTCGCAATAAGACATGTATTAATATTTAAACATGTAGAAACCTCACAAGTTACCAACCTGTCACTAATTAAATAATAATTATAACTACATATTAATATGTGAACCAGTTTTTTCTCAAACTTTCTATATTTCTTTACTCACCAGGGGTTCTTCAGCTTTTATAAGACACGTGTTCCAGTGTGAGTTGTTATGTTTTCGGCGAGATTTCAATGTTTGAAATAGTGGGAGAAACGCTGAATTAATTGCTGTTACTGTCAATATTTGGACTAAGAAGCGCCTGTATTTCACATCAACTCTAGCGTATACATTGATTTCCATTCCGCTACATTGAAACCAATTTGTTATGACAAATCCAAGTTTTGCTTATTATTTTTATCATCAGTAGAAACCTAAACTTATTTACATGGAAGTACAAATTTTGTTATTAATAACAGTTAAAGTTGTTAACATTTGATAATGGATGTTTGATCGTGTTTTATTAATGGTGTTGAAGTTATCAAGCATGTTTCCTCTACTTTAATATAATAACCACACCAGATTTAGTGTTTATTTATCATATGTTTAGCATGTTCAACATGACGTTTTACATATAGTATTAAATACTTTCAATCCATACCGTAATCAAAACTTTCACAATTTTTTAACAATTGCATTATACTGAGCGACAATCATTTTTACAACCATATTGAAAACTATTTGAAAGTACAAAGCACTATTGAGCAACAGCCATGACACCAAAAACAACAGATGAGGTCGAAAATCACACATGAAAGCACACATTCTTTTACGGGTTGAACAACACAAGTTGATGTCCGAGGTAGACGAATGGATCTTTCGTCAGTAACTCGCAGACTGGGGTCGATCTGCCAGTCAATTGGAATCTCTTGATCCTACCTATATGACATCCATTCAGTTGATCCAGGTTGGTAGTACATATCGTTCCTGTCCACTGTAAAAGATATGATACGGTGCTGTGGATCTCTTCGTCTTTTCTTTGATGAAAATTTGTAAGGTGTACAGACGAAGGACACCAGTTAATAAATTTCAATTAAAAATATTGAATTCAATCTAAGTTTCATATAGGTATTATGGTGGACAAAAAGGCAATCTTGGTCTAGGTGAGTTTGTAATGCACATTTGCTGACGGTTACAGGTGAATTTCAGTACTTAGCCATGATAAGAAACAGTTATTGCTAATCTCTCTAACCTATCAACCAGAAAGTCTAAGATAGTGGACCACAGCCATATACGCCCACCATGGCATGCGGATGGTAAATATTCAGGATTTTGGGACAAGGGCAATAACTCTTCTTCTAACGGTCGAAAATAGCTCAAATTCAAACTTGATCTTCGTTTTATGAATATGGATACACATACCGAATTTCATTCGATTCCATCAAAAAATATAGTTTTTAGAGCGTTTACAAGCAAATGTTGACGGACGGACGGACCTTTTTCATGAATATGTATGCACATACCGAATTTCATTTGATTCCTTCAAACGGTCTAGTTTTTAGAGTGTTTACGAGCAATTGAAGTTGATAGAAGCACATACTGTATAGAGGTTAAAGAGCGATAACTCCTCAAAACTGACGTAAGAGGCCTAAATCTTGAAAAAGTCTTAAATTTAATCAGAAGTAAACTAAACTTTCTCAAACCTTTCGATTTAGGTCAAATAACATCCATTTAAAGTTTCATCAAAATCGGTTGAAAACTAATAGAGTAATAGCATATTAAAGATTTTGAGGCAAGGACAATAACTCAAATTCGCACTTGATCTTCGTTTTATGAGTATGTATACACATACGTTTACAAACAAATGTTGACGAACGGACCGACCATAGAGAGATGTGGGCGTATAAAAATGAACATATTTTCATTGAATAGAAAATATTGCATGATGTGAGATAATACCATATTAAATCTGACATAAATATAATAAATAAATATCTTATGGTAACAAGGTATAACTATATTGCTCCTAAAATTATAGGGATCATAAAGAGGTTTTTCTAATTTTTGTTTAAATATTGAATATACCAACCAAATGATAATAGTGGACTCTCCAGAGGGGATTGCGAGATGTAAAATAAAATATTTCAAAGTAAACATGTCCTGCAATGCTAGCGACACTCTGTTACTAGTATATACAAGTACTGGTAAATTATGTCAGTTGTACTCAAAGAAGGTTCAACATAGATCTCAATGATGAATAGTCTTGTAGAACATAATTTTTGAATTGTCCTAGTAGATCCTAGTATAGAACACAGAATTTCATGAAAATCAGATTAGATTCTTTTAATTAACAACGAAATTCTTAAGGACAGGGAAGGGCTGAGAAGATGTCTATGTCTATGGAGCTATCCCTTTCTTCTAATGGAGCTGTGAAAGTTTAAAGGGATAATATCGCAGTTGTTTTGTAAAATTAGCATCACAATTGTCAAATCTAGCAGAGGCAAGGACAATCTATATTGCATTTGCCTGATTTACATAACCTTTTATTATAGCCTACATCAGAAACACAATGCAGTTATAAATGCTTTATACCAGATCAATTCAATGAAGCCTTTACATTTTAAAACCCAGTGACCCTTTTAGCAACCATCTGATTTAAGGTTTCATTAGTTTAATAATGGACAGGACGATAAACAGAACATAGTAGCTACACAAAGTAAATAGTCTATACACAGTTATCTCCCCTTCTTTGATAAGACCAATTCTCTTAAACTATCTTCACTTTCTTTGATACTTCTTTCTAAATAGCCTTTATTAGTCTAGAATATATATCAATTCAACATTATAATACTTCTTAAAGTCTTTTTACCCAAAAGACCATTATAGTGGCCCCTTGTATAACTCAGAAATAAAACAAAATACTGAAGTATATCACATACAAAATATAAACTGTTCGAAAAATGAATCACAACATCAATAACAACTTACATCAATGCTTTTGATTTTTTCTTCTGATGCTTTTATCTTAGAATCTAGATTTTTCTGTATTTGAGGAATTGGTTGCAATAAGAACCTGAAATAAGTTTCAGAAAGTACATTTATATAAAGTATTAAGAGGTTGTCAACTGTCATTTTTAATCCATACTATAAAGCTAGCTTGCCAGGCAAGGTAATATACGCCCACTGGCAGCTTTGATTTTAAATAAAAATATTTGCCAGTACAGTAACAATTACCAGGATGAAATATTCAACCTTCAGATATATACTTCTTTTGAACTTTTTGAGGTAACACTGAACAATATTCCCAAGTTTCATCAAAATCTGTCAAGGAGTGTTTACAGTCTAAAAACTTGAACGCATTTTAAAGAACAAGGGCAATAACTCATGCTTAATATTTTTCGATTTTTCGGATTTTCAATAGGGTCCATTCTTGGGTGATTACATACACTCTCACATCAAGTTTCGCCATAATCCATCAAAAACTGTGCCTTCTAGAAAAACCCTCAAAAAAAAATTAAAACCACATCAAAAACCATATTGGCTGACGAGTAAAAGAGAGTTATTGTCTCCAATGAGTTCAAAGTTCAATATGAGATTAATGTTTAATAATAACTTACATTCTTCCAACTCCTTGATATACCCTAGTCTCAGATGGTAGAGCTTCTATTTCTTTAGTCACTAATTTAGAATGTGTTATTTGTCGTTTTAACGTTTCTATCTGTGCATCTGATATCTTCAGTTGCTGAGTAGTTGTAATCATCTTGGATTGAAGCTCTTGAAAAGCCTGAAAACAATCATATTCTTGAACAAGATAATCCAGATAACAACTTTGCACACAGAATATCAATTACTTATCTCAACCGAGGGTAATCAACAAGGGACAGGGTCTAATGTTCAACAATATGATGTTAAACTTAGAGACCCCATAGTCTGCCCATAGTCACAGTTGCATTTCTAAGGAGGGGACGGGGATGCATTAAAAAAAGGCTGGCTTTAACTGTAGCCCTCACAATCAAATTTCTTATCATTGTAAATAGCGAAAGCATTGCCTGAGAGATTGACAATTCTTTGCCTCCCTCACTTAATGATTCAAAAAAAAGTCACGGCATAGACATCAGGTTTCTTTTACTCATACAGTCAAGTAACCATATTTCGTGCTAACCTTTTTTTCGTGCATCTCCGGAAATGATTAATAATTTACATGTGCAACCTCAACATTTGCTTGTTTTGATAAACATGGGTTATCTGTACTACAATGTCAGCTAGTAGAATGAATCCAGTAGTTTCAAGCAAGGTAAAATGTATTAATGTATAGGCCTACTTTGGCAAATACAAAATGGCTGATTTCAGTTATTACCAAAAGTCACAATCGGCTAGCAGATTCCGTGTCAGCTGAAAAATTCTATGGAACACAATGTGTTGTTGTTTCAATGACTTTTATCAATAAATCACGTTACGTATTTTATTGTGTCAGTCACTATTTTTTTAGACTAATCATAATCATGCACTATGCAGTCAAAAATCAGTAGTGACTTGTAGGCCCTATGTATACACTTAAACATTAACTTAACTAAGAAAATAACATTAACTATTATGAATATAGCGTCTTTTTAGAATAATTATACATTGTTACCTTCCTTAATTCCAGATCAACACCGGTCGGTCCTTCTTTGGCAGCCATGATGTTGGTATTTGAAGGGAGAAGTTGTTGATGTAATAAATCTCCTTTTGAACACCAATCTATTTGTTAACATTTTGGGTTTTGGGTATGTTTTGAGTAAGTGATTTATAAGATATAATTTTGTCCACAGATTTTTTTCTGTTTTGTTTGCTCTATTTGGTGAAGGAAAATGATAATCAACAATAATTACTCAAATCCGCTCTTAAAAAGAGTTATTTCCCTTATACCATTTGGTAATCCGAAACTTCTTGAAATTAATTTATTCTAAAAACGGGATGCTGTACAATGAAGACTTCGTTAGTAGGCGTGTTCGGGGTCGATTTGGGTCTTGAAGAATATTGGCGGTGAACTGTGAAACCAGTCTCTATCAGCTACTGACCCATGCAAATGCGGTTACCCCCTTGACACAATTCTTGTGTTTATGAGTATAACGACCTAATAATTATATGTCATACCGTATATGTTGTAAATTGTGGTGCACAACACCGTTATGTATGTATTTAAGTTAGATGAATACCTAATAGTCAAAGATCGTAAGAATTGATTAAGGTATCCAGACTATCCGCTAAATAAATTATACAAAGAGGACCGGTTTGAGTGGATACTCCGGCCATCCTTGTCATCTACTGATTTATTTTCCGTTAGTGCACAAGTGTTTCTCTTGCTTTTGCTACAATACACAATACCCAAGCTCTAGATAACCACACAGACAAAGGCATTGTATTACAAAACCTTGTGATCTATGGCCCCAAACTCATGGGCAATGAAGATGCTGATAGACAGATATATTTGGAAGAGAATTGCGACGGTAATGAACTACACTGAAATGGCTTTTCTGGTTCCTTTCCTGTCCCAACTAGAAAAATGACTTGCCTCATTGTGGACTAAATATGCATGCATCACATATCATTTGAAGCTTACCGCATTCCGCCAAATCAAAACTGAAGTCTTTAAATTATACTCATAAGCCAATATTGTAGATAGATATGATCTATAATGTTTTATCGCGGTTAGGTACTGTAGGCTTTAGGTATTAGATTTTAAAGGTACATCTTAATATAATACAGCTGTTATCAACATCAAAACAATCCAACTATCTCAACAGTAAAAACCGTGAATAGTGAGTGTGAAAAATTGAAGAAAGATACACATCATTTTAGTCTAACTATATATACTGAAACTCAATAGAAAACTACAGGATAATCTCTAGCCACCTTCAAGCGTGGGCTACATTACAATAACAATGATGCTAATATTAGTGCTGAGGGGGGCTAATATTTGTGTTAATGACCTTAGGTCCTTATTTAGCGTAACTCGCATATAAATAATTAACCTCTGGTGCCAATTTAGTGAATAATATGTTAATAACCTTTGATACCCATTTAGCGTATACTACATGTTAATAACTTTTGGTACCTGCAATTCATAATAGGCTTTAGATACTTATTAAGTGTATTCTTTATGTTAATAACCTTTGGTAATCATTTTTAAACATGCTACACTGAAATAACCCCTTGCACCCATTCAGTGTATGCTCGAGTTTCATAATAAAAATCCGTACCAGCAAGACAATTTCGTTAATCGAAATCTCGTCCAAAGTATGGCAAAATCGATAGTAAAAGTAGTATAGTAGTGGATAAAGAGAAATACCATGAGGTGTTTCGAAAAGAGTAAACATGGTCTGCTTCGCGCGCGACACCCGCCACTACTATACAGATCAATATCATGAGCTACAATCAGTCCAATTTTTGCCTCTTGCCAGAAAGTCTTCTTGAATCGAACAAGCTCTGGATAGCTACACAGATCTAGATTACAGTATATTAATATTCTCTGCGACTGGTTTTCAAGAAGTAAAGACTAGCCTTCATGTAACCTTTTGTGAGTATTCGGTGCTGTTATATACAGCCTCTTAAGCTCAACTAGCGACATACTAATATACATATACATGTATATATATCCAAATATATAAATATATATATATCTGTTTAATTTGTTGCTGTACCAGCTGATAGAGCTCACCTTTTAGTACTTTTCAGGATTAAAATACAATGTTCTAGGCTTTCGCAATTAAACCTTACAATTGAAAATTCCAAATCATTGTCAAGATTCGCGGGACAGCTATGGCGACATGGTATCGGTCTACTATTTGTACTTGAGTGAGGCATCTGTAGTCAGAGGAAAACTCGACACTATCAATCCAATAACTTTCGCTAAAAATCTTATAGTGATTTTTCTAAGTTTGTTATAATTAAGTAATTCCTTAGTCTTAGTTTTGTCTTTTGTCATCAGTAAGACGTAGTGTCATTGCAGAAGAATTAAGTAAAAACCCTAGGAAAACCATAGATTTGGAAGGTTTTAGGGTAGATTTAACTGGATGTATTACAAATCCTAATTTTCTAAAAAAATATTAACAGTTGCAACTACATTAACACAACATTTTTTATAATTATCTCCCATTAGAAAAATATCATCAATATAAGCAGAAAATACATGTCCTACAGATCTTAAGGAGGACAAAGCAGGTTTTAGCAACTTAGTAAATTTTCTAGGGCAAAAACATAGCCCATTAGGAAAACATGTAAAACTGTAATATTTATTTTTCCAAGAAAATTTCAATTTAATGACATTGGCTATAGTATCCATTTTAAAATGATTATATTCAATACACTGATTCAATTGTCTCAAGTTCAGTATCATTCGACGAGTTCCATCTGGCTTTCCCCTGAGAAAAATTGGAGAGAGAAAATCATGCTCTTCTCTATAGCATTCTCGAAGAACACCTTTGGTGAGTAGCTTCTGAATTTCAGAGTCAATGATTTGAATTTCTTGAGGCCAAAATGCATGATGTGGTGCACTATTTGAGGTAAAAGTGATTGAAAAGTTATATTTGTGCCTTTCACCATTTCAAGAATCTCTGGATCAGATTTTTTGCCACTCAACAAAATAATTTTGAACAGGGCCAGCTGGGAACATTTGAACTTCAACATGTCATTGAGCTAAAAGATCAGAACAATATTAATCAAAATCACTCACCTCAACACAATTTATGTTTAAGAGTGATCTATCTTCAGTTATTTTTGACTTGTTTCTTCTTGTATTGGTTGTTTGGCTTCTGATTTTTGTATTTGTCTTTTTGCTTGTACTTGATTGAACTTGTGCTTGTCTAAAAAGAATGACTGTTGTTGTATCTGGTATATGGTCTGTTATTATATGAAGATCTCGCAGTTTCAGGCTTTCGGTGCTGAACCTGCTTACCAAGTTTATTAGTTTCCTTAATAACAGTAAGAGAATTGGGCAAATCGTCTCCGAACAACTGATTCCCTGTCATAGGGACATTTTTGGAACATAAAGAGCTAAACTCTTTATTGAGTGGAGGTTTTATCAAGTCTTGACAGGCATTTCCTAACAAAGCAATGCCATCCACCAGTTAAGTTACTACCTCTGAAGGAGTATCCTTTGTAAGGAGAACATTCACTGAGTTTCTAATGGCAACCGAAGCTTTAATAATGGATTTCTGAATGCCAGCCATTCTCAGGTCTTGAGTTCTTGTGATCTTCGACAATTTACCCCAGATTTCCTGATTTACTAGAGGCACTGTCAGTTGCTCACAGTTACTTGGTCTCAAGTATTTTTCCAACTTTTCTTTTAATTTATCATCCGATAATTTATTTATAAATCTTTGTTCACAATTGAAGCTAAGCGTTCAGGAATTGGAGTGGTTGTAGGTTCATCTCCATTAAATTCAGAATCTAGTTGCATTAATAGATCCACATCGTTTGACTGAATATTTGATTTTGGCAACAAAACTTCAGTATCACTGACACTCATCACTGTCAATGTCATCAGATGAACTCATGGCAGTCAAGGTGTGAGTCTTTTTATGACTATGTATACCAAGTGGTTTAGTAAACCCATCATTCTTCCGTTTCCTGGAAAGCTTACTAGCAGGAATCGCATTATTTGAGCAGTCTTGCACAGAATTTAAAGTGCTAGATGTAAAGACAGTGCCCATTTTCTCAATGTTTTGAGAAATTAAATTCATGGTGTCTTGTAATGTTAACATTACTATCAAAATATTTTCTCAGACATTGATGTAGGCATGTTTTAATAGGTAAATCTTCAGAGTCTATTGTTATGTGCATAGCAACATCAGTATTTAGGTCCAGGAGATTATCTTCTCTCTGCATTGGAAAGGGCTGGCACATCAGACGACACGGCTGTATGTGGTTTCCGTAACTTCGCCATTGTTGGAAGCAATAAGGCCTAATACCCCAAAAACTTACAAGGTTTATAACAGGGCGTTAAAAAGTGTAAAAACCTGGAGCGAAAGTTTCTAACTCACAGGCCAACGATATGTAAGGATTATGTCGATCAAAAATTTTAGATTAAAGATTGACTGTTCTATAGCGAAGCACGCTTGACGGTTGAAGCTTCCACAGCGGTCTCTACCCTGTCTGAAGTCCGATTCAAAGCAGAAAACTTTGTTTCGTGTTTACAGCATGATGCGGTACTACGACAGACATTTAGCTACAGTAATGTACCACTAAATAATTTGGTAATTAATTAATTCACTTGACTCATCATGTTTTTTATTACCAATTTCATTGATAATTGATATCAATGCCAATATACTTAATGGGTATTACAAGTACCTAAAGTATCTCCATACCTTTCGTAATTACAAATTAACCGAGTGTGAATGTACAAAAGCTCTCTATTTTGTAAAGGTTTTATCTCCCACCCAAACAAGACATGGAAAACTTCACATATTCACCCCTCAGACAATATACATTATACATGGTCAGAATATATCTGTAACAGTTTATATTCCGAGTATTAAATCTCAATGTGTATATCACAAAATACACTATACCCCATTGGTGATATAGCTCAGCATATTCATAGAATAGAGAGAAATATAACTGAAGAAGAAATGGAATGTTTCCAGAAGAGATAAGAGATAAAGTACATTAATTTCTTTCAGAAACTTATATCTTTCTTCTTCTATTTTATTATGTTAACTCAATCGCTTAAGAAAAACTTTTAACATGTCTGTAATTGGCATGTATTAACGTTTCATATAGGTTGTGTATGTTGGTATTAGACGTGGCTACTATCGTAATCCTTTTATATACAGATTTTTATCTTTTCAGAACCCTACTCATACTCCCTTATCTTTTAGAACCGATGGCAAATACTATATATCATATATTCATATTATACATTTTATGTTCAGAACTAACTACTGTTAACTAAACCCTTTCATATCTGGAAGAACTTCTTCACTCTAGATGTTATCCCACTTCAGAAGGAATGAATAACTGATGAATGAATGAATGTATGTTTGCTGTATTTAGTGATTATTTTCAGCAGTTTGTATCTTGTCTAGAATATATCTATTGTAAATATTATAATATACACCACACATTACATATATAAATATTTAAAGACCAGTATCATAAATATTATATCATGTTATAAGTACATTCTCATAATATGAAATTGCTCCACATCATCATATCTCATTAGCATATTAGCTAAGTTACATATGACCTAATTATAATAATACCATCATTACAGAACACCTACTTAGCGTACGCCCTGATCAGAATTGTCTGATCAGTTGTCTGAGCAAGTAATAAGATGCTCTAAATGGTATTTCGTCTACATTGCTGCTTTTTACATAATAATGATCTTCCAATCCTTAGTCTGTACTCTTAGTCTGTACCCTTAGTCTGTACTCTCTATACTGTCTTTGTTATAATTCGAGAAAAAGGGGCTTGGTTTACATTGAAACAAATATATAATTGCTTGGTGATCATCGTCGTCATTTGCATTCGAAACTGTTATCACAAATCAGCAGCGACCACTTTCTCAATACAATATGAAGTATCAATATTGATCTGTAACCCTTTCCCCTGTAGGCCGATATATTTTGGAGAATAACTTTCTATTCAACGGCCTTTACAGTATGTAGTTTGTTACTTTAACTCTTTTCTTGACTTTCTACTATCAGTACATGTATGAGAATGCGGGAAATAAATCAGAGAAATGGCTGTGTTTATATTTTTAGAATGGGAGAAGAATTACAGTTATATCAATACTTTAAAGAAGATGAGTTGTTAAGTAGAATAATTATTTGAATGAAAGTCCACGTGTTCCTCCATCGTATACATTTCATGTAAACATCTACACAAATAAATCACAATTTATGCTATGTATGCAACACTTACAGATAATAAGCGCTTACTACACCAATCAAAATACTAATCTGCACTTACAAGAACTGATGATAGACAAATATGTTGTGCCTCTCATCCTTAATATTTTTAGCTCCTAAATCTAGGAGGAAATAAAGACAAAAGCATCTCCAGAAATTCAAGTACCTAATTCGTAAACATATACATCTTAATACGACACTGAAGCAATGTTTCTGAGCAGACAGGGAACTACAACGAATAACGACGCCCCAATATCCATAGGTCCCCAGCTACATTGAAGTGGAATTAATTACTTGATTTATTAGAAGATAGTAAATACATCCTTAAAGAAAACATTATTTTTGGAACAATGGTATGTAGGTCAACTTAAAACTTAGTAAACAACAACAATTGTTCTGATACAAAATCTGTATGAAAATGGTGTTTTGTTTAAATAACAACCAGTAGAATATAGTACGTGCAGCGTGCTATGGGTGTTTACTGTAGTATAATTAAAGTTAGTTGATGTAAGGATGGTCTTTTCTGATGAGTCAAGTTGCTGATAATGAACATTTCTCATAGGTAACTCATAGAATAACAAAATACCATGATACCATTATCTGCCTGGCGGCACGTATACTATCAAAATATATCTTTGAAAGAGTGGTCACTAATGCAAAGTTTATCCTAACCCATCTTCAAACTGATTAAAGTTAATTTGTTACAATCTGTGTGTAAAACCAAAAGAAAAAAGAAACGCGGCTAGTTTAATCCTCAAAATCTGATCCATTACGTTATTAGTAATAAACCCATCTCTTTTCATTGACCAAATGTCAATTGTCTATTAAGACTTAGTTTGTCTGCAGTTCGACAGCGCTTTTCTGATATTATTCCACACTACAAGACAACAGTTGATGGCATGGAGTATACAGCTCATCACTAATTTACTTAACATACCTACACTAGAAACTTATCGCAATCATTTCTTACCGTTACCATAGAAACCAAATAGGCAGAAAAGTTTTAAAACTCAATTTTTTCTGTTTAAAATAATAACGATTTCACCTTAAACAAGACGAGAAAGTTGATATAATCTAATTACAAAAGACTAATTGTGTATATCAAAATATATTACTTAATTCATTAAGGAATCTGTTGGACGGCATAATATGATACTAATTAACGCCGACTCCACCATTTATTCCTAATATTAGTTACTATAAATAACCTCGGCGTTGGCAGCAGATAGTGCTGAGTTGTAGGCGCATATAACTAGTCGAGGGATTTACGTGTTGGACGTATCAGACTGCAGTAGTGTGATTTCTGGTGGAACATTCAGTTAAGGTGAACTTTATTTATTTCAAATACTTGTATTAATAACTATCCCATCGCACTTAAAATTAAGTTGATTTATATGTTATAAATTTATAAAACAATTTACCTAATATGTTTATTGGCAAAATCTTTAAAAGTATTCGTTAAAAGTAAGAAAGTCGTTTGAGAATTGTGGTTATTAAGTTTTCAACTTTAATTTGTTTTGCGTATGACTGAATGTATTTTGTTTCTTCTAAATTATGTTCCCAAAAAATTATCTATTCGGAAATTAACAAAACAAAGTCTTGATAGAAACAATAATTTGGGATTGTTTTATCGCGTTGACCTTATAAGGTCCAGAGTAAACAGTATTGTTCATCAATGAAATCTTTCATTTTTTTTTTTTTTTTTTTTTTTTTTTTTTGGCACCTTGTTTGCGTGAAATAATTTAGATTTTAATATAATACATGCTCTCTTCAAAATCGTTTAGAAACAATAGCTTTTCTTGTATTAGTTGGTACATTTTTGACTTCAGTTTCGGTTCAATTTTAGATTACAGGTTTTACCAGCAGCGTTAATGCCCGATTTTATGCCATACTATTTTGTTATATACAGTAAGTTAATAACGATGCCCATACATGTCAATTCTAACAAGCGACGGTATGCTATTTTTGATATCACGAGTAGCATCACTTTGGATTAGCGGCAGTTAGATGTATATCATTTAGGATTCTTCACTATAATAAATATTTCAAGTACATTAACTGTCAACATCAATGAAATATTGCGAATAAGTTGGCTACCTTGAGATAATATTTCCGAGATTTTAAGGAGGTCAAATGAAGGTTAGACAGTTAACGTGTTAATGAAGCGAGATGTTTACATCTTAATTATTCATGAAAATGCTTAAATTCTCTTTACCTTGCATCCACTCTATTGATGTATTCACCTTTGATCTCGAACATTTCTGCTAATGTGATCTTTACTTTTAAGGCCTGGTTTTAAAGGAGAACCTTCACTATCCGTTCGACCAAGCATACCTTAGTTTCAAAAACAGGATTTGTTTTAGTTTACATAATCAGTAATAGTGTTCACAGCTCATCGTCGAAATTTGAGCCTTCAAATCCATAATTATTCACGTTTTAAAGTTAAAAATTCGACTCTAATTTTAGTGAGACTATGCCATATATAGAAACACATAATATAGGAATAGAGAGTAAAATTTCTAGTTTGAGGTCTATTTGAAGCACAATAAAGACCCAAATCAATCCCCGAAAATGCCGACTGTTTCCCTTTAATGCCATGAAATATCATAGTGACAATTTTCCACCTGGGCAATTAAGTTTTTGAAGTGAGGTGCTGACAATTTTTGACAACATAGTTTTGTTCATAATAGAATTCATGATATCAATACTGTTTTAATAAGTCTCACTTTACTGGGACAAGGTAGTCCAATTAATGAGCTTAACAATTCATGATCATTACATAACGTCTACGGTATATTTGTTTTGATCTTATCTCCGATCTCAGATCAAATGACAGCATTTGATATCTTTGACCTACTTTAACTTTTATTGAAGCAGCGGGAAGAGATAAAAGTGAGAAATGAATTTTGCTACTTATCTTGATTATAGTAGGACATCTGATGCATTCAGTTTTAGATTATTCTGACTTCTAAGCATACCAAGATGTTTAAATGTGAGCTTTAAATATGATTCAAACACGTTCAGGTTTTTAAACCAAAACGACTGTTTACTCGGAGGTGACGCCTTTCCAAACATTCTTGTTTACGATCAACCAAAGTGATTCTCAAATCACATCCTTTGATTGCGCCACCATTTTTAGGTACAATATTATGAAAACAAGCTTATTAACAATGGTTCGGATTAACGGTTACTTCTACATAGTAAATATTCCGTTCCCGGATTATCGGCAACCGGATAAACGCGGCTCCACTGTATGGAGGTGGTTTGCGAGGCACGGATTGCAGTCAAAACAATGGTATTTGCCTTTGCAGTGAGGCGATCATGATTAAGACTGGAATATCTTGACTAGTACGCCAGTTTTGATATTATAATACACAATGTACTTTTACAAAGTTTTCAATTTTTACATCATCCGCGGACAGCTGCAATGTACCTTACTCTGAGAATTTCTTGTTGTTTACACAACTAAACATAAATTGCATATGAAGCAACTTGACGTGAGGTTGAAAGAGTGCCAAATGAGAATTTCAGTATTAGTATTTTGACAGTGACAACAGCACAGTCTAGAACAGTAACCGATATTACTTTTCCATGTCCTCTAACTATAAAAGGCTGCATGGCAATAGGTTATTTGATACTTTAACTAGATTTCTAGATGCGGAATCTTTCAATTTCAAGCCAATTGATTAGATATTCCGATATGAAATAGAGTCTGTACGGTGTAGATAATTGGATGCTGTAAATTGTGTTTATAAGTCATATAAATACCTCGAAGCTCAGTAAGGTTAAATTTACCATTTAAGAGTTAAGTTTTTAAATTCTTTAAATTATCTCTTGGAAGATATTCAAAATCAGTTTGCACCTGAAAATGCAATTAATTATAAAATATTATGTGGTTCTTTACATACCATAGATTAGCTTTCGAAAATGTTTTCTATACAAATTGTGAGTGTGTTACCAATTTCACCGACAGAAATTTCTGGAATGATAAACTGTTTTGAGATAATAGATAAAAACGAAATAGTAAACATTGTAAACATTGCATTGTAAACGTTACATTTTGATGGTGGACAGTATGATGTTGTCGGTCCTCTGTTACCCAATAAGGTTCAGACAATTATATTACACGTGGCATTTAAAGTAAGATTTGACAGTAATGATCCACAAAACAGATTTGGCATTTTTGCAGCAAGGTTTATACAGATAACATTACAGTTTGTAATAACTAATATAAATCAATCAACTACTTAAAATTATATCACCATTTTTACTTGATACGAATTACGTAATGAATTCTAATCAGCATAATTTTCAATTCTGAATTTTCCTTGAAATGTGATTGTTACGCCAAGTTTCAGATATAAATGTAACCAAACATAGTCAGGTGGGAAATTGATCGACATTTCATCAGTCGACAGCGGAAATGTTTTAACAATCTTGAGTTATGTTTATATAATATTTAAAGATACATGTGATACCTGCATTGGGGTTTCTTTTGAAATCATTTCCCTTTTTGTCTTGGTTCCAAACTAAATCAAACAACAACAAACACCTCGTCTGTAAATCCAACATTATAGTACCTTTTAAATTCAGGAAAGTATAAATGGAAGCATCAAGTTATCAAGCTTCATTCCAAAGAAAACATTTTAAATATTGACTTGTTTGCCTGAAGACAGGATGTATTATGTATCACATACATTTCAAATAAAAAGGTTATTTAAGACATAAAACAGAAAGTGATTATGAATTGAACATACTGTGTACGAAAACATGCCAAAATCCATGTAAATAGAATACAACTATTTACATTTTAAACAAATCGTAAGCATGAAAAACCTTCAAACGTGAAATTTTGGGAGCTTCTTGCATTTATTACATCAATGTGGTTTCGCTTTAAAACATAAAAAGACAATTTAGTTTCGATGAAATCATTAGTGAAAGAGATCATTAAAGATGGATTGAAAAGATACCAGAAAAATTGTATAGAACATATGTTCATGATGTACTTTGTTGTTTTAGTAATCAACTATTATGAAAAGATTCAACATGAACTTAGATCAAATTACTCTTACATTACCAACAAATTATACACTGCGCACAAGTATTTTCATAGTAAACATGGTGCATTCTACATAATAATTACCTATAAAGAGAAGCTAGATTTTATATTTTTGGCAAAGAAGGCCTGCTTTCAACTTTCCAAGACTTCTTCATTTAACATAATAATTAAGGGTCTTAATCAATATTCAACAAGAGATGCTTTATCAAATTATCTCGTGATTATTATTATGCCCCCGATATCAATTGGCATCGTTTGAAAGGAACCTGCATGATGCACTTCCGCTTTTATATTTTATTGATCACATATTATGTACAAATTTCCTGGCATTGGCGTATTCATACATATGTTTTTTCTAGAATTCCAGACCATCGTATTCTAGAAAACATATTTAACATATTAAAATATCTGTATCTTGATCAGGATATTGACTGAAGAATTTCTTGTAAGCTATTTTGAACCTAAGTAATTCGTTCCATATACCTTGAACAAATACTACATTAGTGTAAGTTTTACCGTTTGATATAACAATTATTTAGGAATGATGCATAGAATTTTAGGAAACATGATAAGATAACAATATTTCTGAAGAAATGAATAAAATAAGCTCAGCTTTCTACAATACTGTACATTATGATAATTTTCAGATTTTAAACAGAACTAACTAGTACACATTCTATATTTAATTAAACTTCAAACCATACTTATGACACCATAAATATAGTTTCTGCCTTTTCATAACTGTTCCCCTTTCATTTAAATACAATTTTTCGTTTATATTCCAGTTCCAAGATGGACAGTCCTCATATTAAAGATAATAGTGATGGAACTATTACAGTGGAATACCAACCTAAATCAGTAGGGAAACATGAAGTCCAGATGGAATATAATGGTGCCAGCGTTAATGGTAACATTTTATTGTATACTCTTTGATCTCATAAAATAAGATAAATAAATTCCAAGATGAAATGACCAGAGTCTTTCATTTAGAGACTGGCTTAGAACATGAAAGATCACATAACTTTTTCTCTTTAAGTATATGGGAGGAGTGAAACTATTGGACTAATTGAAGTTTATTCAAATGTTATTTGGAAATTGAATGTTTATACAGATAGATAAACTGCATACTGAATATCAGACTCTAACAGACCTCGTTTTATCTTATACAACAAAAATACAAAACGAGTATCAAGATAGGCTTTAAATAACAATTCACCATATATCTCCAATTTAGACCGTTCACTTCAAAGTTTGAAAGATGAACAAACGGTTTATCTGACAAACTGAATACACATAGTTCATCCCAAAATAAACTGTCTGAAAACACATGGTTTATCTGGCAATAAACTGTCTGGAGACAAATTGTTCATCTAACAACTGGCTGTCTGAAAACATACGATTTATATGACAACAGGCTGTCTGAAAACACATGTTTTATATGACAATAGACTGTCTGAAAAAAACGACTGTCTGGAAACACATGATTTATCTGATAATAAACTGTCTGAAAACACGATTCATCTCACAAACAGACTGACTGAAAACACACGATTCATCTCACAAACACACGGTTAATTATATTTTTTTCCATATTATGAGATTAAAGAATTTGTTAAAGTGTGTATGTTACATGCAATGTTGGTTAAAAATGATACTTTTGGGCGTTGCTGTCCCACTATGTGAAACATCAGAGGCAAGGTATCAATATTCCTGTATGAAACCTCGTGATTGCTCGAGTTTAAAATCTTGTAAGAATAATGGCTTAAAAGAAAAATACAAAAATAATTGTGTACAGGAAACCTGTCAGCTTCCATTAACAGTTCAAAATAATATAATCTTCGAGTTCTCTTTCTTTTTAAAAACAGAATCTGAATCTTTCCGCTTTATCTTATCCCTTTCACATAGCCTGGCATTCTTCCCGATCTCTCACGCCTGTTGTTTCTATTACTTAGATTTATATAGGATATTAGCTGTTTGGCAATCTTTAATGTTTAATTATCTACGAGAACCAGAACTGCACTACTCTGTTTGAGGTAGTTGAAATTCATTAAAATATGTTTATTATATTGTTATCATTGTAAATCTACCCTCCAAAAACCCGGCAAAAAAAAACTTATTTGGCTATTCATTTTTTATTTAAATTATACTCAAGCATCTACAAAAGCTGTTATTGTTTCCTATTTTCTAAGATGCCGTATACAATACAAACTCACGAAAATGAACTTTATATATTCTTCAATGTAATCAAGAATGAGTTGAACAGAGAATTACAGCCTTAAATTGTTGAAAGCTTGAGTAAAATATAATAACAACATATTACATTGATAATTGTTTCCGCATATTAATTGCTTTTTGGTTTTTAGTATATGATTATTGAAAGATATCCAAAAGATAACGTCTATGTAACATGCACTACAGCAAATGCTTTTTAAAAAATAAAAACAACTTTTAATTTTCACATCAGCACTATTTAGTTGTTATAGTTGTGACCTTGGTCAGATTCTTAAAGAGAATCCCAGAAGTGTTATCTTTCACTTTAACAGAATCCAAATCTGACATGAAAATATGGGGAACGCATGGTGATTAGTTATGGTGATTTGTTGATTACATATAATCTGTAGTAAATTATAGGTTGATTTAGAACAGAATAAGTGACCGTGAAGAAGATAACACAGCGTCTTATTCTGATGTTCTCCTTACAGAACATTCCATACTACATATAAAACAGGCCTGCCATAAAGATAACATACTGTTCAGAATGAGAAAGTTTCAAGCACCGATGTATTCTCAATATATTTTGAAAAAGATTAAACAAGAGTTGGCATTATATAAAGTTGCATATATTTCACTTTGCTAGAAAAACAATTTAATGAAACTATCTTTCCAAAATTCAGATATGGTGCAGTGAACGTTTTCTGTGGTCGGATTTTTTAAAAGAATAACATTAATGATTAAATATCCATCTGATCTCAATATGGCCATAACGAAGAAACCGTACTTCCGGTCTCATTTGAATACAGCTTTAAACAAAACAATCCTTGACCTTCATCTGTACCATAGCATTTCTCAGAGTTCAGAATTTAACATTGATACTTAACATTTACATTTACCAGACATTACAAATCGACAAGATACATTGATAAGATACAAGGTATTCAAGTTAGAAAATCTAAACCTTTTACACCACGTATTATTTACCTGATGCACAGAGAAAACCACCCATCGTAAAGTTTAATTCCCAGTAGAATATGTTCACATGGAAATAATAGAAATGTCAAGAATATTATATAACTAATCTTGTGGGTGCAACTAGCCAAATTCCTCACAGATTCATACGGATAAATTTAAAATTGAATTCGGGTTGAGAAAGAACTATGATTGATAAATAAATAAGGTAATTATAAGACAAAAGGAAAGGTTTAAGGTTGATCAGTTTATTGTACAGGTGTAATCCAAATAAATGATGATTATCAATTATATGTTTTAACCTTTATTTGAGAAAGTGAAAGAATTGAAAGATTTTGCGTTGATAGGATACAAAGTTTACATTCCTCTGAGAAATTCCGACTAAAAATTGGAAAAGAATTGTCATCTGTAGAAACAAATTTCAAATTATGACATATTCGTAGGCTTATATTTTAATAAATGCAAAGTAATTGGAATTCCATCGCAAACATTTTGAAGCTGTAAATTTAAATTAATCAACAAAATTGCGAACACAGAAAGAAACAAAACCACTGTACGTTGCACAATAGTTTCAGTCGATTGAGCAATAAACATAACAGACAAGACATTGACAAGTACAACAACTTATACAAAACCTAAAATTGAGAAAAGCAGCCAGTCTACAGACAACAGGTACAATTGTAAGTGTAACCTGACACGGTGTATTACCACAACTACTGGTGCCAAAAGGTTAATATTTTTAATGATATAAAGTACTTATTAATGTAACCTTCTTATAGCTATAATGAGTACAGTGTGTTACTTTAGTCTTTGATAATATATCACTAACACTAATTTAATAAATATGTACTCAAATTGGTCTTCTGAATTATTGTGTAGAGACGCATGAGTTATAAAGCCCAGGTGGTTACACATAAAAGGCAAAAAAGAATAAATAAAAGTCTGCAAATAAAAGAATGCATTTATAATAATTGCATATTAACAACATGTTTTATTTAGACAAGAATAGACAGTTGTCAATCTGTGTGTTAGATATTAAATCAACATTTTTATACTATCAAACTCTTTTCAACTGAATTCGGTGTATACGTGAATAATATCATCTATGCATACCGATGTCATAAGAATCACATCTATAATGGTTGTTTCTCAGAAAGTTCACGAAGTTTCGCAATAAATTGATATTCAAACAGTTAGTCTACCTGAGGAAATACGTGTTTAATATCTTCATGTGTGATGTAACTACCTCATAATTGTAATACAGTATTATGAAATAATCCTCGGGTATTTCTACCTGAGTTATTTTAACATATTTCAAACTTCAGTTTCCAAAACATCATTAAGCTAGAAGAATTCCTAAAACAAATAACTGCTGGTAAACGTTCATTTTAGCTTAGTAGCTTTTTCAGTGCCATTTGTTGTTTTGCTTGGCACATACCAAAGAAAAGTTGAGAAGTAAAATAATAGGCACTCTTGAATGGAAAATAAACTATTAGGAGGTAAAAAGCTGTCAGAATATTGTTTAATTGTTTTCTTGATTATTTCTCCTGTTAAATACCAGCTAAGAATGGAATCAAACAGACATGACCTTATAAGCTGCATATACTTACATCCTTGAAACATGACTTCTCCATTACATATCTATATTCAAAGAGTTGAATGCACTGTCGACAAAAAGAACCCATTATAGACATAACATTAAAGGTGTTGAAACAAACAGTGAGAATTATATTATATCATCTCATCTAAATTTATTGGTGATCTATCTTCTCGTCAGATTTCTCAACAAGACGTTTCCTTATTGTAATACTCCCAATGTAATGTTTGACAACTGTCGTGTCATGACATTGTAACCTGTAGAATCACAAATATACTAGTATGGCTTCAGAAAAGATACTGTCGATCGAGTTTCAGTCATTTGTACAAGGTTTAGATGCTCTGGAAGTATTATAATCTCCAACATCGATAACAAGCATATACACCCTGCACAAATATGTTCAGACACACCAAAAAGATCAAATTAACGATGATATGTGTGTTCAATTACAGGTAGTCCATTTCAATGTATAGTAGATTCTGTTGGTGGTGGGTATGTGACTGCTTTTGGTAAAGGTCTGCAGGGAGGTGGTAGTGGAGAAGTTGTAGAGTTTACAGTTGTTGCTCAACAAGGTCACGCTAGTAAGTATACGTATTGATTACCGTTCAGACAATAGCAATTAATCTAGCTATAACAATGTTGCCCCAATTCTTTCAGAAATGCCGAGAATGAGTTATTAAGTATTGTTCTATAATTTTTACAGTTTTTATCCATCCATTAACTACTTTACAGTAAAATCTTTAAAAAAAAACAATTAGTTTCGTCAGTTATGTTCAGCATTCTTTCGTTATGTTAATTATCTATTATGTGTTTGTAGGAGATTTACAAGTAGTCATTGATGGACCTGGTAAAGTTGATTTAAATAGAAAAGACAATGCTGATGGTTCAATTGATTTCAACTTTATGCCTATGACACCTGGTGCCTATAATCTTAATATTAAATATAATGGTAAACATATCAAAGGTTCACCCTTCACTACCAAGATATCAGGTAATTGTTCTTTCACCAAATTCAGACTACGTTGCCTTCAATGGAGTTTCGATCGTTTTGATAAATCATCCATTAACTGATCGCACATAAATGAAGTCATTTGCAGCTTGTGGAGTGAGACCGAGAATCGTTCAGTGAAATACACTATTCCAGTGTGGGTAAAGGGATGGGGCAAATGGTTTGTATACCCAATTGTTCACTCACTTCATTTCAAAAACATTTGAAAATATGAATTATACGTTTTTCTGTTGAGAGAACCTCTCAAACGCCCCAGTTTGTCCCATATCTAACCCAGTCTCTGGAGGCTATCGCCTTCACTGGCTCTACTTTACGTTGCGAAATCTATTAAACTATGTTTATAATAATGTATTTTACACGGTTATCTTTGACGAACTTCTATAGATATCACATTTCTTATTTTATTAGGTGCTGGTAGAAAGCGTTCTCAACTTTCATTAAGTAATAGCAGTGAATATAATCTAAAAATAGTCGAATCTAATGTAGTTAATTTGGTTGGTTCATTAAAAACACCAGAAGGCTCAGTTGAACCTGTTATCTTAAAGAAACTGGGTGACGGTGAATTGGGTACGTATTGCATTTCATATATCAGGTTTTCTTCTTATCTTCAGCTGGCTGCATTTTAAAAAGAATTTAAAAAAAAAAGTCATATCGTTACAATTACCACTCTTGAAATCTTTATCACATTTCCTTACACCCTTCTTCATCTTCTACCTGATATAACACATTGTTAGCATTCTCGCTTTAAACTAAATATATGTTAATGAAAGACTTTGAGAATGATAAATAAATCACCACCCAGTTCAAAATTCTTAATTGAGTAAATTATACTTTCTAAACAGCTGGAACAAATCAGATTGTTGAAATAACTATAGCTATATATAAAATCTATCTAAAGTTTGCTCTTGGGATTTTTTCATTTTAGCAAATTAATACGTTTCTCACAATGGCGATATTTAGTTATTTACCACAGATATTATTTGAACTAGGTCCATGAATATTTGAATGTAACAATATCCTTTATTTAATTCAAGGAATTGCTTCATTTAGCCCCAAATCGAAGGGAAAATATCAGCTCAATGTGTATCAAGATGAACACGCAATCAAAGGAAGCCCCTTCTCAATCCAAGTTGGTGATAATGAAATAGCTCATGCTGCCAAGGTCCATGTAACTGGTGCTACAACAAGCTGTGTTGCTAATGATACAAATGATTTGAAAATTGATACTACAAACGCTGGTATGTTCTTTTCGTGTTTTTCTCTTAACTAACCTTTAAGACCTTTTACTTAAGTTTTAGAAGTATTCTAGAAACCAAGCTTTCTGTAATCAGATCGTCGGCAACTGACATATTGGAATAGGTCTTCTTATTGCTTTTGGTATCAGTTTAGTAACTGAATGTTCACTATGTTTTCTGATGTTTAGGCTATGGTAGTTTAAGTGTGGCAATTGAAGGACCTCATAGATCTGAAATAGATTGTCTTGAAGCTAAAGATAGAAAGTATGATGTACATTACAGTCCCCATGAACCAGGAATATACATTTTAAATATAAGATATGCTGATGACCATGTCCCAGGTAAGATTTGCAAACTATAGAGAACAAACACCAAGGAGGGTACTTGGGAAGCTGCGAATACCATGCTTGATAAAAATGATCCTATTTGTGGTTGACTTTTGTGTTACCTTACTCATTGTGGGCGACAGGAGCATAAAACAAGAGGCACGAGGAGCCCAGGACAAGGATAATACCTGAATCTGTATTCAGCCTTATAATGTGTACGCGATGCATTTGAGTCAATAGGTTAATACTGGTACGACTAGATCTGCCTTTGTCGAACTATATTCAATAAAGAGATATTCAAGAATGTTGACTGTTTTTAAGACTATAATTAACTGAAATGATCCTTATATAAAGATTTGATTTTTATTGTTCATTATGGGAAAATTGTGTTCCAGGAAGTCCATTTTTATTGGAAGCTAAAGGCAATCCTTCAGGAAGGATAAGAGAAACAGTTACCAAGGTAATGGAAGCATGTGATGCTTCTCAACCTGGCAAAGATAATACTTTTATCCTAAAGATACCAGGTAAATGCTAATGCAACATTTTTATGCAATAAACAGACACTTTATATACTGTGGTGTAACCTATTTTCGTGGATATAAGGATTCATCACCGAATTTCGTCAAAGTTAAAAAAAACTAATTTTTTTTTTATGTCTTAAATGTTTCCTCAGATATTCTACAAAATAATTATAATTGGTTTATTTCTATTTTCTTTATGAATCCTTCACTTTGACCCATATTTCATGAGCAACCAACTCGGCAACGGCGGCAGAATCCGTCACCTATTTTCGTGTACAATGTTTGATCTATAAATAAGGCTAGAAAAACACGTTGTATGGATACCGGGTGGTATAATTTACTTTTCTTAGTATTTATCTTTAATATCAGTTCATTATAACTAGTGGCAATTCCTTCAAAGAACCACGATTTTAAAAAAATATAGTGACTGACAAAATAAGATACGTAGCGTGATTTATTGCTAAAAGTCACCGAAACAACATAAGAATAAGGTCCACTTTGTGTTCCATAGAAATTTTTTTGCTAACATGGAATCCGCTAGTTGATCACGTGACTTCATTCGTTGGACTACATTCTAGCAGACGACACTTGGAATTCCGACTACCGCTTGGGATAATAAGGAAATTCGGCCGATAAAAAATGGTGACGTTTGGTAATAAGTGAAATCCGCCATTTTGTATTTGTCAAAGTATACATTAGTACATTTTACCTTGCTTGAAACTACTGGATTCATTCTACTAGCTGACATTGTAGAGACAACCCGTGTTTATCAAAACAAGCTAATGCGGAGGTCGCGCAAGGTCGCACATGTGAATTATTAATCATTTCCGGAAATCCACGAAAAATAGATTTCCACGAAATTAGGTTACTTGACTGTACATAAGTTTAAGTTAAAATTGACTTGTCATCAGTTTGTGAAAGCACAAGTCATACAAGATGTAACAGACTATAGATACCTTTGATGACAAACTTACAGATTAAAAGAAACTCTCAATTAGGTAGCTGCATTGCTGTCCTTTCTTTTGATAACAGTATGCATTTTTTTATTCCTAGGAACAAATCCCTTTGATATGGAAGCTGCAATCACCAACCCAGATGGTGCCACTGAATTATGTGACGTTGTTGATGAAGAAGATTTCCATTACTTGATTCACTTTAAACCAGCTATCTCTGGTGTTCATATTCTGAGTGTCAAACACAAGGGTCTTCATATCGCAGGTTTGTTAATACATGTATTAGTAGACTGTCATTAGATTCTATGGTTACGTTTTCAAAGTTATGCTGATGTGAAATATAGGCTATTTGACGAAGTAAAAGAATATCCATGTGAGATGCACCAAGTTGACAAGCAATGGCATGTCCCCAATCCGTGTACCAATACGAGGTATGAACAAGGACTTCTTAATCAATGACAAAGTGAAGCAAGGCTATAACAACCATGTACCTAAGCTAATGTGTAGACACTTTCTTATTTTGACATAACATTTTATGTTTTCAGGGAGTCCTTTCCCTTATTCTGTCGGCCAGTTGTCACAGGGAGGCTTCCATAAGGTACAGGCAGGTGGACCTGGTTTGGAACGAGGTGAAGTTGGAATATCAAGTAAGTAAAATAAACGATCTCGATGGAATATTATAAGATTTGAAGTGCTTTCTAAACTCAATGCTCAAGCACTTTAATCTTAAGAAGATTTAGGAATTTGATGTACAAAAATAATAATACTACAAAACTGTTACTTTTTTCGGTTTTAGACGACTTCAATATTTATACTCGAGAAGCTGGTCCTGGTTCTCTTACAATCTCTATTGAGGGACCTTCCAAATGTACTATTAAATTGGAAGAGAGACAAAATGGTTCCCTGGGATGCAGTTATTTCTGTAAAAATGCAGGTATGTGTTTATTGACATGTAATTCGAACATCAAGTCAGCTCTTTAAGAAAATTGAATTAGCTCGTGTGCTATTTGAATTAGACTCATTACATTAACTTAAGATGGTGTTCCCATTTATTCATGAATTTGCAAAGAATTACATCATATAAAATCAGACGTTTGAATATTTATCCACGTGGACTATTATTGTTTTGATAACGGTTTTATAGCCTATATAATTTATCTCACCTGCTAATTACAGGAAGATATGGTGTTCATATTAAATTTGATGATCATCATATACCAAATTCACCTTTTATCGTTAATGTTGCACCTGACAGCGGTGAAGCCAAGAGTGTTTCAGTCCAATCATTGAAAGATAGAGGTTTACAAGTAAGTCGTGTATCACATACGACCTAATTCACATGTAAAGTGCTGTTAATGATATGGTGACTAAAGTATGTACGATGAATTTCTGAAAATAACTGTTTCTGAAAATTAATCTTCATCAGGGAACAAATCTCTGTCTTGAAAAATATGTTATATTATATTGGAACCTTGTTGTTCTAGTTATGGGAGTCAAATTTCTGACGACAAGCAGCATTTTTCATGTTTCTTTGGATCCAAGTCCATCGTGTGAGGCTAATGCAAACTTGAAGAAATAACAAGGTTTTGTGGTTTCAACGTACTTAATATTCGTCGCCTGTGTCAAACTTCACTGCGCCTGAAATATTTGACATTTGACTTAAACTGTTGGTTTCTATTTGTAGGTTGACAAACCAAATACATTTGCTGTGCATTTGAACGGAGCTTCTGGTACTCTCCACGGTACTATCAGATCGCCTACTGGTGGACATGAAGATTGTTTCATCCAAGAAATGGACAGAGGAGTTTATGCTGTTCGATTTATACCAAAAGAGAATGGTGTTCACTATATTGATATTCTCTTGAATGATGCCCATATTCCTGACAGTCCATTTGCTATAATGGTTGGTCATGTTGGAGCTGACCCTGCTTTAGTTACTGCTACTGGACAAGGTTTAGAAACTGGAAAATGTGGTACGTTTTAGTCAATTTCATTATATTAAACAGATTCATCACTTCGCGTCGCACTGAGAACCTACGATTCTTTAGCGAATCGATTTAGTGTAATATGAATTTGTTACATTTAAAAGTCGGACAGCGAGGATATATTTATACTTTATCAAGTGGGGGTTGGTTCGCTCTGAGGGTTTAAACGCTTTATTATGAAAACTTATCATAATTCAGGTTCCAAGAACAAGTTTGTTGTAAAGACAGCTGGTGCTGGAACTGGTATTTTAACTGTAATGGTAGAAGGTCCTTCTAAATCAGCCATAAGTTGTAAAGAATTAGATGAAGGTTACGAATTCTCGTACACGCCGTTTTCAGTTGGCAAATATCTTATCACCATCAAATATGGTAATATACCTATTGCTGGCAGTCCTTATCAATCAGAGATTACAGGTAGGCTTTAATGTCTTGTTAGTTTGTACTCTAAACAGCTTAAAAAATAAAACGAGAAACATTTTGAAAGCATTATATTATGTCGACAACTTATACCATTATTTTAAATAAATACAAACTGCTACTATCAAAACTGTAAAAAAATGTTTAATTTGTGTACTATTTATTTGTATGTTTGTTAATTGTTCTTTCCTGTTACCGTGTTAACAATTTGTTTGCATGTTACATGAATACGTGTAGTAGATATGCCTTAGACATTTATTGTGCCTGTAGAGTATTTTATCTCAATGGTGCTGAATATTCAATTCTATGTATTATACGTTATTGAACTATTATGACCAATGTCTCTTGTGGCAGATAATGCATAAACATACAATAATTGTCGAGTTGGCCCATATTTTCATTACCTGTACCGGTTACCACACACATTTCTTTTTTACCACTTTATTCCTATTTATCTTCAAATTCACTCAGTCAAATCTTATAAAACCACCCAAAGAATTTTCCTTCACTAAACCTTTTAACAAACCTCAGATTTACGTTAAACATTTTACTTTCTTTTTCCTTATTTCCAGGTGGAAGTAAGTGACATTTTGTCCTTAAAAAGTTTTCATTTTTTCTATCTTAGTGTTTTCACGTATTCCCCTATACTAATGTCAACCTTGACTTCTCTTCTTTCAACAAATTTCACTTTTAGAGAATGGTTCATGGGTAATTCAATAATCAAGATGGCGTTGTGTTGTACAGTGGCTTTGTAATGCTTTTTGTCTAGACATAGCATTTGACTACACTACACCCATTTTATAATAAAATTCATTCCAATAGCCATTTTACAAAAAAAAAATAAACTACAGTTTTACACCTTTATTCACCTATTCAATTCACATTCTCCCTGCAGACATCATCCTCAGGATTGTTTGTGGCTGGCCCTCCGTATGCTTTATCTGTATAGTTCTTCATTTGCTCAGAAGCAAGATGAAACGATAATTGAAACATCGCTACATTTGGTTTAATAATTTTGTCGTCATACTGCATGTTATTTGTAGCAGCCTTTCGCTGAGTGGCATTTAATACGTACATTAGTTTGATGAAATATTAATATTTCTCTTAGTTAATTATTCTTATGTTTATATGAAATATTTTACTATTTAGTTTAGCTATCTTTTATTTTGTTTGGGGAAAACATCCCATGTAAAGTTTGTTTTAAGTGTAAAATTGTGTTCTGTCCATGCTAAAAGTAAAATAAGAATAAAGACTTCCTACAACGCGAGAACTAATTTCACAATCAATTTTGCAGGTACCGGACGCAAGCCAGCACCAATAACTGAACAATCTACTATGATTGTGGAAACAGTTGATAAGAAAGCTGGTGCTGGAAGTAAGAAGGTGTTTAGAGGTGATGCCAGTAAGGTCACTGTTCGTGGACCTGGTTTGAAGAAAGCTTTCAACAACAAACAACAGAAAATTACTATAGATGTCAAGGAAGCTGGTAAGCAATTATTCTGACATCATTTTTTCAATGATTTCTTTAACATTATTAATTGTTCACTTACATATATAGGCCCTCAGCAGCATTTTACTTCGTTGATTGGATTTGTTCTCTATACTCTGTTTCTTTACTTTTTATTAATGAAATTGTTTTGACACAAATGCATCCATCTGATGTAGGTTTGTGGGCGTTTTGTTATGAATACACATTACGAGCTATACATTATACTATGTTTTTAAGCTTAGATTTTCTCTGTATTTACAGGTCTTGCATTACTGACATGTGGTATGATCAGTCCATCAGGTCATCCAGAAGGTGAACTATTCCTCAAGAAGATGACAAATACAACCTATGAATTATTATATAAAGTAGTAGAAGCTGGTGAACATACATTATATATAAGATATGGTGAGGATGACATTCCTGGCAGTCCCTTTTCATTGAGCACCTAAATTATCTTTTTCTCTTTCAAATATACCAACGACAGTTTTAATTATTATCAACGAATTTTTCATAATTTATCAATAATATTTTCTAGTCTATCATACTTCGATATTGTCTCGTTGAAAACCTATATTAATCTCTGATGTTGCAATGCCAGTATTATCACGCTAAATATCAAAAGGTTTAGTTTTGGACACTGTAAACAGCATGGCTGAATATACACAATGGAAATGTCAGTATTTCTGTTAAATACTAAGTAACAGTTGTGTGATTTTTCTATAATATTCAATACTAATGATATACTATGGCTAATGTATTGTAAACGAAGAATTATACTAATTGTGACAAGTAGACATTTGTTGCAAATGGTCATTGTACATTTTACAATACCAACAGTCTACGTTGTTTAGAACTTTGAATCCAAATATTTTTTTATTTGTTAATTATTTATTCATCAACTGGAACTCATATATTCTAAAAGAAAGGAGTCACATATAGCTGTTTTCCACAAACCTTTACGTTAATATTAGGATATTGAAGTTTACATTCTCTACTTTTGTGTATTATCAGTATTTCTTTTCTACTTTCCCAGTATTATAAACCGACCTTATTCCCTTGTAGTTTTTCAGATATAAATTGTAATGCCTGGCTATATTGATATTTCAGTGGTGTCGCGTAATATAATAGTGTTGATTATTCTAAATCGGTTTAATGTGATATTATAGGGTTGTTGTGTGAAATAAATGTCAGATTCTCTATTAATGCCTTTTGTCCTCATCTCCCCATGTATTCAAGATAAAGATATACTGATCCGTCAAAGTAAGTGTGTTCAAGGCAGAAATTATAAATTGTTTTTCGATCAAATTCTAGATGAATCCTTAAACCTCGGCTGAAGAAGGGGCTTAATTCTCGCTTGCTGGGTCCCAAATCCCGTTGATCGCAACATAACGACGCTGCTAATGAACTTTTCACATGAGAAAATATCAATCAAAAGTGAGTAAATATTTCATAATGAAAGCTGTTTATAACAGTAATACCCTGTCTGGTGCCATACTCGCCAGAGCTGCTTAACACACACACCAAACAAAACAAAAAGGAACGTTTGTCATTTAAGGTATTTTTGCTCATCATAAAAACAACCAATCCATTATAGGTTTCAATGGTATGAAAAGTAAAGCAATGGAATAAGAAAAAAGATTTATATGTAATCAACTTGGTCTATTCACAATAGAGTAAACATTGTGGAATTTGTCCGAAATATCAACAAAATATCCGGAAGAAAAATTCTGGAATATTTCTTTGTCGATTGTCTCATTTCCTCTCTCTGTCATTCTAGTAATTGAGCAAAATAAAATAAAAATGTAAAATGACGTTTTAGATTCTCGAATGAAATATTTAAGAAAAAAGAAGAAAAGAATGTGCTGAACGCATAATAATAGTATACAATGATGCGACATATTGTAGTAGTGAGATATTACACTAAAACTATGACAAAGAACTTAAAACTGTTTAATATAAACTAGTTACAATATTCACAAATACATCGATGTTGTCCGTCTGTATAGGTGCCCTGGTAAATCCAAGATGCCCCTGATATCATATCATTCCGTATTTATATAAAAAGTTTGTGCATTGACATTAATCAATTAACAATTGATAATTATAACATATAAAAGATTAAGTAAAACAATCGACAATTAAAACATATTTCGTTGTTAAGTATTCTGGAAATTAATATTGTATGTAATTCTCGAATTTACTATCTAGTGTTAATGGCACTTAGTGCAAAAGGTATTTTTGTTCAAAGCCACCAAAGGTCTTTACTTAGCTCTAGGCAGCTGATACAGCCCCTCAGCCAGCCCAAAATTGGCAAGCTGGGTCATGGGTTTAGTTTAAGGTCAGAACCTTCTTTATTTCTTTTAATCTTTTTCTCAATCCTTGTAGTTTTTTTTACGGAACCGTCCTTGAGCCATGATGATATTTTATTCTATCATCATTTCATTAAAGTTAATAAGGCGAAAATAGGACCTTGATTTCAAGATATCTTGATTGGAACTAAAATTTGATTTATTATTTGTCATTTTCATTATTTGGCGTGGAAATGTGGACGTATATTGCCGTCGCCCCTATCCGTCAAAATTTGATTGTGAACACAATAGAGACTACAGTTTTCAACTGAATTTGATGAAACTTGATGTGATGATGTATATTTCTTGATTTTTCGATGACCGGTTTTTGAGTTATTGCCCTTGACTTAGGAAAAACGCGTCAAATTTTGTTTGTGAACACAACAAAGACTACAGTTTTCAACTGATCTTAATGAAATTTGGTGTGATCAATTATATTGATGAGATCCTGGTCATATTCGAATATGACGATTTTTCGATGAATGATTTTTTAGTCATTGCCCTTGACTTAAGAAAAACGCGTCAAATTTTGTTTGTGAACACAAATAGAGACTACAGTTTTCAGCTGGTTTTAATGAAATTTGGTGTGATCATTTATGAGATCCTGGTCAAATCTGAATATGACGATCTTTCGATGAATGGCTTTGGAGTTATTGCCCTTGACTTAGGAAAAACGCGTCAAATTTTGTTTGTGAATACAAATAGAGACTACAGTTTTCAGCTGGTTTTAATGAAATTTGGTGTGATCATTTATGAAATCCTGGTCAAATCTGAATATGACGATCTTTCGATGAATGGCTTTGGAGTTATTGCCCTTGACTTAGGAAAAACGGGTCAAATTTTGTATGTGAATACAATAGAGACTACAGTTTTCAACTAATTTTAATTAAATTTAGTGTGATCATTTATATTGATGAGATATTGGATAAGTTGAACTTGATGAATTTTCGATGAACGGTTTTTGAGTTATAGCCCTTGACTAAGATAAAATGTTTCAAAATTTGTTAATGAACAAAATAGAGACTATTTTTTATGATGAATGAAATGAAGGGAGTTTTACGTTTTTTTTAAAATTTATATTGATGAGATCTTGGTCAAGTTTGAACTTTCAACTATTTCACTCTCAACAATATTTTGACCTTGATATCAGTTGTGTGATTTAATAATTTGATGTATTTGGGTTATTAATATTGATTTAAAAAAAAAAATTGTGGAACTACTCGGCATAAATAATTACAGTAAATATATGTATCATTGAATTCAAACTTATAAGATAGCTTGCCAGGCGTTTTCAAGAACAAGGGCAATAACTCATACTAAATATTTTTCAATTTTTCTGATTTTCGATAGGGTTTATCCTTGGGCGATTACGAACACTCATACCAAACTTCATCAAAATCCGTCATGAATTGCACCTTCTAGAGTGTTTACGAGCGTTTCAAGAACAAGGGCAATAACTCATAGTAAATATTTTTCGATTCGTCTGATTTTCAATAGGGTTCATCCTTGGGTGATTACAAACAACCATACCAAATTTCGTCAAAATCAGTCAAGAATTGTGCCTTGTAGATTGTTTACGAGCAATTGTGGACGGACCGATGGAAAGAGGTGACGGCACTTTCTGTGTTAAATAAAAAATAAATTTTTCTGGTGTAACAATGTAGACGTGTGTGATTGGCACCATCTTTGCTGCAGACCATTTCAGAAGTGTTTCTGTCCACAAGGCAACTAGATTATCCTTTAGACTAAGGTAGGGCCAATATTGAATGGACAATATTTAGCTATGAATATGTAAATTTGTTACCACAGCCCCAAGGAAGTATGATGGATGGAGGTGTGGTTTGGAAGCGATGTTTGTAAACAATTTGATATCTGAACGGTTTTTGAGTTATAGCCCTTGACTAAGATAAAATGTTTCAAAATTTGTTAATGAACAAAATAGAGACTATTTTTTATGATGAATGAAATGAAGGGAGTTTTACGTTTTTTTTTAAATTTATATTGATGAGATCTTGGTCAAGTTTGAACTTTCAACTATTTCACTCTCAACAATATTTTGACCTTGATATCAGTTGTGTGATTTAATAATTTGATGTATTTGGGTTATTAATATTGATTTAAAAAAAAAAATTGTGGAACTACTCGGCATAAATAATTACAGTAAATATATGTATCATTGAATTCAAACTTATAAGATAGCTTGCCAGGCGTTTTCAAGAACAAGGGCAATAACTCATACTAAATATTTTTCAATTTTTCTGATTTTCGATAGGGTTTATCCTTGGGCGATTACGAACACTCATACCAAACTTCATCAAAATCCGTCATGAATTGCACCTTCTAGAGTGTTTACGAGCGTTTCAAGAACAAGGGCAATAACTCATAGTAAATATTTTTCGATTCGTCTGATTTTCAATAGGGTTCATCCTTGGGTGATTACAAACAACCATACCAAATTTCGTCAAAATCAGTCAAGAATTGTGCCTTGTAGATTGTTTACGAGCAATTGTGGACGGACCGATGGAAAGAGGTGACGGCACTTTCTGTGTTAAATAAAAAATAAATTTTTCTGGTGTAACAATGTAGACGTGTGTGATTGGCACCATCTTTGCTGCAGACCATTTCAGAAGTGTTTCTGTCCACAAGGCAACTAGATTATCCTTTAGACTAAGGTAGGGCCAATATTGAATGGACAATATTTAGCTATGAATATGTAAATTTGTTACCACAGCCCCAAGGAAGTATGGATGGAGGTGTGGTTTGGAAGCGATGTTTGTAAACAATTTGATATCTGAACTATTTATTTTAATATGTTTAAAGCTAATTAAATAAGCCATTTATTTTATGAGACAAAAACGGGAATTTGTTTCAGCTTAGCCAATCAGTAATAGTGTACATTTCTAGTACTTCTGAAGACTATTTACATATATTCAATTCTTCAATTCTCAAATCAACCACCAAAAATAGCGCTCCAGTATTTGCTGATTGCTTTCGGCTGTTTTCCATATGGTTTGTTTATATTTGGAGCTGTTGAACAACATAGGCCCTTTCCTAACTGTAGTGGGATATTTACCTGCCGAGTCTGAGGGTTGTTAGTATTAACAGATTTCCTACTTACACCATCAGTTACCATAATAAACAACTGATTAATATTAGAACTGTAGAGGTAGACAAGACATTTGATTAAATATAATATATTCTTGAGTTCAATTTTCCCAAAATCAGTGATAACAGCATGGACAACTAGAGATGCTGTAAAGCATGCACAAATTAAAATTTCTATGACTATATATGGATCTTCAAGTAATTTATCACAAACCATAACCTATCTGCCATATCACACGATCCATTGAGAATGAGATAAAATAAAACAAATCCTAATCATCAAAGACAAATACTTCTAAACAACAATCATTCAAATTTACAGAATTTATGAACACTGCTAAAAATTTACAATAGCACTGTATATATATTGAGTAGTTAGATTAAGCCTCAAATTCTAGCCCTAAACCAATCTTGTGGCCACCAGCATTGATGTTTTTACCTTCTATTAAACTGGAAACTGTAAGTTGGATTCCTGAAATAGAGAAAAACATTATTTTTTGTTAACTCTGGTACCAAATAATAACAAAAAACCACATGCTGTCCAGTATGGAAATCAATTGGGCAAGCATGGTTGCCAATGGAACACCAAATCACCAATTCATAACTTCTTTCTTGGTATTCTTTTTAATCATTGCATTTTCAAAACTGTCTGTGTAGCTGAACCATTGAAGGAACAAATAATTTTATGATTTATAAATATTTTTAAATACACCTACCATCCTTTAACTTGTGTGTGAAGCCTAATCCAACTTGACTTGAATTGTTCACTTTAGCCTGAAATTTAATCATCAAAAAATAAAGTCAAATTTTAAAGTTTGTCCTGGATTTATAGTTTCAAATTGTAATATTTCAAAAGACTCCTTTGACAAGAAAATTCCTTTGTATCTACAACAAGGAACTCATTCTCGACAAAGTTTGAGAAATGCTAATCTTGGATAGTTATGACAAGTTATTGTGGTCTTTGATGGTAACAACTATAAGAGAGAAGGAAAGATTTAGACAGACAAAATAATCACTACTCTCTGACTCCATGACATGACTTGAATTTTTTCTCTATTTCATACATTTCAGATACACTTCCCTTGTGTAAAATCATGTTTAAAAATAATAACTTTTCCAGTGGTTAACATTTTCATCAACCCAAAGACAATCTAAGACTATCATTAGTATTTTGTAGATATTTTAATTCATTCGAAAATGATTGACAAAATTCAATTCAGAAATCATTATATTCAGAGAAGAGTAGGATCAACATTAACAAAAATTGTATTTTTTTTCATGGCCTTTAATCTAATCTTCACCTTCAATATAACAGATACTTACATTTATAGAAGAATTTCTATCCAGAGTGTATTTGGCACCCAATCCAAATTTGGTAGCATTTGTTCCAGAAGTCCAAGCTAAGTTGACTGCAGTTTCCAGATCTTTATTTACCCTTTGGTAAACAGATCCTCCAAACTCTTGTCCATCATTGCTGTAAAATAGAAGGTATAAGAATGATCATATAAAGTAAATACATTCATCACATGAAAACTAAATAAATATTCTGCAGCAAACCAAGTATCATGATATGCATCTCATAGCTTTACCTACAACCAATAGGTACTTTTGCAATTGATTACTGAAGAACATTACATCCATTCAAGCCTGGAAATAAGGAATAGAAGGTCGCCTGTCAAAATGACAGGCTGATGGCATACCTCGCCTGTCAAATTTCACAAGTCGCCTTGAATCCAAGAATTTGAAACTAGCCATTTGATAGGTCTCTTTGTGTTTTAACTGTATGATTTTCTCTTTAGCTTGTCTAAGAGAATTCAAGGAAGATACATTGTCCAGATCTTCTCCTTGAAAGTTTTTTGACAAAACAGATACAGGCATTAATAAATCAATGAACAAAGCAATTTGTAACAACATTTTAACTGATTTTTCTTGACATCTTTCAAGTACACAAATTTTAAGCTTGTCTCTATTTTGTCACAACCTTTCTCTGGTAGAAAATATAATACATATATAACTTCTTTTCTTTGACACTAGTGTCTGTTGAACCATCAGTAAGTATACTTATAAACTTGGCTTTCTTCAAATCGGCTTTTAAATTTTGACGAATATGATCTCCATGAAGATCTACAAATTCAGAGCAATGTTTCCTGTTAGTGTAGGCCACACCGAGATCCACGCCATGTTTTGATTCCAGTTCTACAATGGCTTCATACACTGTGAATGGTAGTTCATTCTTCCCGACAAAATAAGCTATTTCCATCTTTTGACATATTTGGGTTTTAATTTTATCAGTTAATCCAGAAAAACAATCTCCAATGGTTCGTTGGTTTTTATCGGAATACGTTCTAGAACCTGATGATGATATACTGGCACTGGTGCTATCAATGTTGGATGGATCACAATCTGTTTGATCATCTGTATTTACGTTACCACCACTATTGGCATTTTGACGACAAAAAAGTTCATAAGACATCTTAAAGCAACGGGAATAAGCATGGTCCTTCAGACTGCTCAATCTATGATTTTTAGAGCCAGTTATAAAATCCTGACGAAATTCTTTCATCTGTTTTACACGCGATAAAAACATCTGACATGTGCGGCAGCAAAATTCGAGGAAGACTCCGTCTTTTTGGTGGACTTTGAGCCATAAATTTGGAAAAGTTTCAGCCAATTGGCTCGTCTTCCATTTGTTGACTGTTTTTCCACTGTTACAGACCGTTTTTTGGTGTTTAATTTGGACATTTTCAATCCTTAAAAGGCGACAGTTTGACATTTTATTTCAGCCATTACTAAGTATAGACCTGACACGAGGTAAATTTTTACACAAGGAGCCTAGTCACGAAATTTTTCTAAGCAAAAAAAATTCTTATGAAATTCTAGAGTTGTGTTCATTTTCGACTTTATTAAGATTAACACAATTACACAAATATTTCGGTTTTATCATATATCAGGTCCCTTAAATATTTCTACTGCGTTTAAACGTGATATTATAGACCAAAATCACCCTGAATTTACATTTAAAATTAAGCAATAGCAGCCTTTAATGAAACTTTGAATGTGACATGCGCAATGTCAATGTTGTTAACCTGAATGACAAATCGTATGAGTTGTATGTTAAAATCATATTGCAATTTCCGACTAGGGCGTACGCGACTACCGAACCGTATTATGCTCACTGTTATATTCATAGACATCGTAGACTTGCATGATCGAGAAGCCAACTTTCATTTGCGATTGAGAATTTCGTGATATATTTTTTTGTATGAACATTCATGCTCGCCCGTCAAAACGACCGGCAGTACACTAAGGTCGCCTGTCAATGACCGATGACCGGCGCTATTTCCAGGCTTGCATCCATTCTTTCGAATGATAATAAATAGTTTAAAATTTATGCTTACATGCTGGTGTGAAGTGTAAAATCTCCAGCTGTATAACCTACAGCAAAATTACTCTTTGTTAATTTAGATTTGGATGTATCAAATGACATTTGATAGCCAGCTAACCATCCTGTATATCTGCAAATAAAAAAATAGTTTGCCAGGCAAGGAAGATATGAGTGAAGGAGGATTTAGGGGATCTTCCCCAAAAAAATTTAAAATGAAATGTCAGATACATGCATAATCCTGGCATTTGAGACTATTGTATCGAAATTGACACTTCCATCCAGGTCCTCTTTAGACTAGGATAAATACAAATTAATTTATTTTAAAGTTTTAAGCTCTTTGAGATGGATTTGTATAACGATTGAAAATGCACAGCACATTTAAGAATGTAGAACAGCTCTGCAGTTTTTAAAGTTATGAATAGCATCATTATTGAGTAAAAACCTTATGACTTGATAGTCATTTAAATGCGAAATGTGGGTCTAAATATAAAAATAAAATAATAAGAAGTCATAACTTGTATTTTGATTGATATGCACCCCTTCATACATTAGAATGAATCTGGGAATATCCGTCACATATCAATGTACTACTAGTCCGGACGAAAAAAGTCAACAAGTTGGCATAATGTAGACACCATATTTTTGAGTGGCAACACTGCATATGCAACAATATTTCGTCAATAATGGCTTTATTTTACTGTTATATTTTAATTGCATTTTTTAATTCAAAGCCAAAGTGAGAAATGATAAGCCTTTATAAGCCTTTTATTATATTTTTAACAACCCCTCTAAATTAAGATAGCTTGCCAGGCAAGGTAATATACGCCCACTGGCAGCTTTGATTTTAAATAAAAATATTTACCAGAAAAGTAACAATCACCAGTATGAAATGTTCAATCTTCAGTCATACACTTCTTTTGAACTCTTTAGGGCGATACTGTATAATATTGAGGATGAGTTATTGCCCTTGTTCTTGAAAACGTGTTCAATTTTTAGCTTGTCCATAGGGTCCATCCTTGGGTGATTATGGACACTCACACCAAGTTTCGTCAAAATCTGTCAAGAATTGTGCCTTCTAGAGTGTTTACAAGCTAAAATTGAACGCTTTTTCAAGAACAAGGGCAATAACTCATACAAAATATGTTTCAATTTTTCGGATTTTCGATAGGGTTTATCCTTGGGTGATTACGAACACTCATACCAAATTTCATCAAAATCTGTCATGAATTGCACCTTCTTGAGTGTTTACGAGCGTTTCAAGAACAAGGGCAATAACTCATAGTAAATATTTTTCGATTCGTCTGATTTCCATAGGGTTCATCCTTGGGTGATTACAAACAACCATACCAAGTTTCGTCGAAATCAGTCAAGAATTGTCCCATGAGTGTTTACGAGCTTAAAATTGAACTAGTTTTCAAGAACAAGGGCAATAACTCATACTAAATATTTTTTGATTCTTCTGATTTTCAATATGGTTCATTCTTGGGTGATTACGAACACTAATACCAAGTTTTGTCAAAATCTGTCAAGAATCGTGTCTTATAGAGTGTTTACGAGCAATTGTGGACGGACTGACGGACGGACATGGGTGACGGCAATATAAAAGTGTTTTATAGCTTTCCCATTCTACTTGATTGTTGATCAGTAGCGTCCAGATCTACCAAGCAAGTATTAGTCATATCCCGGTTCGCAAAAGTGTGAACATTAGTGTCTTTTTTATTCAGAGGATATCAAACAAATCGCAAAATGAAAAAAAAATGCTCTAGTGACGAAAATCACATTTTATTTTGCCAAATTAGCCATGCAATTTCAGTTATTTTGTCTCCTGCATGAGAAGGATAGTAAAAAAGCAAGTGGTTGCCTAGATACGCCCACTCTTCAGTAAGCTTATATCAAAAGCGGTCACCAATCTGTGTCAAATCCAACGAAAAATCTAATCTGTGCAAGATATTGTTGATTTAATCAAACACACAAAATTTAATAAAATTTTGACATAAACTGACACCTCTATCACGTTAACAAGCCAACAAATTTTGTTTTGTCTCTATTGCGTTTACAAGCCAATTATGGATGGACGCTGGGCGACGACAATATACGACCAGGGGTCTGAGTAGGTTTTTATAGCACAAACAGTTTTATATTTAATGTTTTATCAACCACCAAGAGTTTTCTATTATCTTTGGGTTGGCGCAAATTCATTTAAAATGTGTTTCACTCTATTTTCAGTACAAAATGGCATTTCAAATGTAATTTTTAAGACAGAAATGGTTTTATTTCAACAGTAAAATTATCCAGAATGGGCAATACTGTAACCCTGTTAAACGTGCTCTGTCGGTAATTAAAAATTCAGAAAGGTTTTAATTTTATGTTGCAAAAGAAGCCTTTTTGTAAACTTGTGGACATAACTCCATTCGTCACAACTTCTGCAGGGTATTGAAATATATAATACCGGTATGTATACGCCTTCCCCTTCCCGTTCAACATATTGTATTAGCATTGTATTAGCCTAATATTCTTGGTTGATAACGCACTTGTGTATGAAACTTGGGATTTTTATCGATATTTACTGGTGAATATTATCAATATTTACTGGCGTGTATTATCTATAATGACCAGTAAATATTGCATAATTCCTAGTGACTTTCAAATACAATTTATAGTTATTTGTGTTTGTTTAAACACCAGCGAATGGTCCTAATTTCAAACCAATTATTTTCTGACTGTTCTGAAAGTAACCGGTGATTTGGAATCAAATAGGCGTCATTTTTCGTCGGCTGCTGGCCCTTAATGACACCCTGTACGACCACATTATAATGTGTTCAATAAAATAGAAGACACACAAACCATTTCACTGGTTTTTTACTGGTCCATTTTTAGTTGATCCAAATAATGTGAATACTCTATTATGTGGGCATATAAAAAGCAAGAACTGAAAGTTTTCGGTTGGTTAGCCTAGCAAGATACACCCACTCTCCTGATACATTTTCAGTAAGCTTATATCAAGAGCAGTCGTCTGTGTCGAATCATACCAAAAATCTAATTTGTGCAAGATATTGTTGATCTAAACAAACACACATTATTAAATAAAATTCTGACATAAACTGTCACCTATATAGCCAACATGCGTTTTTACTAAGTCAAGGGCAATAACCCAAATTCCATTGATCAAAAAATTGTCAAATTCAATCTTGACTAAGATCACATCATTATAAATGATCATATTAAATTTCATTTAAATCGGATGAAAACTGTACTCTCTATTGTGTTCAAACAAATTTGTTATAAATCAAGGGCAACAACTGAAAGATAGCTTGCCAGGCAAGGTAACATACGCCCACTACCAGCTGTCAGAAATCATAACAAAGTCTGTAGTGGTTTAATATGTGAAACCAATCATCCGATTGTTATCAAATTCAAGCTTTACTGAGATCTCATACCAAGTTTCATCAAGAAATGTCTCTATCAGACCTACAAGCCGAATTAGACGCATTGAACTAATTCAAGGGCAATAACTCCAAAACTGTTCATCCAATTGTTACCAATTTTACTGAGATCTTGTCCATCTATACATGAATACCAAGTTTCAACATGATCAGATAAAACATGTAGACTCTATTGAGTCTACAAGACAAAATAGACACATTGATTTAATTCAAAGGCAATAACTCAAAAATCATTCATCCAATTATTACCATTTTTTAACTTGAGATCTCCCCAATATATACATGCATACCAAGTTTCATCAAGATCAGATCAAAAATGCACCCTGTATCATGACTACAAGTCAAATTTGAAGCGTTTTTTAGGGCAATAACTCTGAACCCGTTCATCCGATTATTACTAATTTCAAACTTGACCGAAATTTCATCAATATATTTTCAAGTTTCATCAAGATCAGATAAAAATTGCAGCCTTTATCGTACATACAAGCCAATTTAACGTGTAAGTCAAGGGCAATTTCGACTGAGAATTTATCAATATCTACAAGCATACTAAGTTTCATCAAGATAGGATACAAATTTTAGCCTTTAGCATGCATACAAGTCAAATTTAAGGCGTTTTTACTAAGTCAAGGGGATTACCTGAAACTTTTCATCCGATTATTACCAATTTCGTACTTGACCAAGATCTCAGCAATATATGCAAGGATACTAAGTTTCATCAAGATCAGATCAAAATTGCAGCCTATATCATGCATACAAGCCAAATTTAATACGTTTTTAAGGGCAATAACTCTGAAACCGTTCATCCGATTACTACCAATTTCGAACTCAATATATACATGCACACCAAGTTTCATCAAGATCAGATAAAAGCTGTAGCCTCTATCGAGCATACAACAAATGTGGACTGACGGACCGACGGACGGACAGGGCGACGACAATATACGTCCACATTTCCATGTGGGCGTATAAAAACCATTCATCGAAAGTTAGCCAAATTCGAACTTGTCCAAGATCTCATTATTAATATCCACATCAAATTTCATTGAAATTGGATGAAAATTGTAGTCTCTATTTTGTTCCCAACCAAATTTTGATGCGTTTTTCATAAGTGATTGTGGGTGTATAAAAAGGATTTTACGAAACAAAGAT